CCTCATCCTCCTTCCAGGGGCTCCTCTTCTCCTTCTCCTCAGCCCTCCTCCCCTCTCCTCCGCCTCCTCCGCTCCTCCTGCCCCTCATCCTCCTCCTCCCTCCTCTTCCCTCTTCCCCTCCTCACCTCACCTTCCTCCTCATCCTCAAACCTCCACAGCCACCTCCACCTCCACCTTCCTCCTTTTCCTCCTCGTCCTCCTCCTCCGCATCCGCCCCGCCCCCCCCATCCCCTCCTCCTCAAACCTCATCCGCGCTCATCCGCATACTCCTCCTCCGTCCTCCTCCCTCCTCCTCCTCCCCTCCTCTCCTCCTCCTCCCTTTCTGCGCTCCTCCTCATCATCATCATCTCAGCCTGCCTCTCCGTCTCATGGTTCCTCCTCTCCACCTCCTCATTCTCATCCTCCTCGGCCTCAGCATCAACATCATCCTCATCATCATCATCATCATCATCATCATCATCATCATATCATCAGCATCTCATCATCATCATCATCATCCTCACCATCATCATCATAATCATCATCATCATCATCATCATCAGCATCAGCATCCAGCATCAGCATCAGCATCCGCATCATTCATCATCACCATCTCATCACCATTCATCACATCAGCAGCATCATCATTCATCACCACCACCATCATCATCACCACCACCACCACCACCATCATCATCATCATCATCATCGTCGTCGTCGTCATCATCATCATCATCATCATCATCATCATCATCATCATCATCATCATCATCATCAGCAGCAGCATCATCATCATCAGCATCGTCATCATCATCATCAGCATCATCATAATCATCGTCATCATCATCAGCATCAACATCATCATCAGCAGCTTCGTCATCATCATCGGCACTGTCAGTATCGTCATCGTCATCATCATCAGCAGCATCATCATCAGCATCATCAGCATCAGCATCATCATCAGTATCATCACCATCATCATCAGCATCATCACCATCAGCATCAGCGTCATCATCATGAGATGCCACAGCAACATCATCAGCATCAACAGCAGCATCATCGGCAGCAACATCAATATGATGATGTGCAACATCAACAACATCAGCGTCATCAGCATCATCATGAGCAGCATCAACATTATCAGCATCATCAGCATCATCAGCGTCAAAAGCATCATCATCAACATCATCACCATCGTCATCATCATCATCATCGTCATCATCAGCATCAGCATCAGCATCAGCATCATCATCATCATCAGCATCAGCAGCATCAACATCATCAGTATCATCACCATCATCATCGGTATCATCCTCATCACCGCCACCAGCACCACCACCACCACCATCATTATCAGCCTCAGCATCAACAGCATCATACGCATCATCATCAGCATCAGCAACAGCAGCACCATCAGCAGCATCGCCATCAGCAGCATCATCATCAGCAGCAGCATCATCATCGGCATCATCATCGTCATCAGCATCAGCATCAGCATCAGCATCCTCGTCCTCCTCCTCCCCCTCCTCCTCCCCATCCTCGTCCTCCTCCTCCTTAGCCTCCTCCTCCTAATCCTCCTCTGCATCATCGTCATCACCAGCATCATGAGCAGCAGAAACACCATCATCATCGTCAGCATCACCATCATCAGCATCATCAGCATCATCAGCATCCAGACTATCCTCTGCATCATCATCCTTACGATCATCAACATCAGCGTCCTCGGAATCGTCTTGCTCCCCCCCTCCTCCGCCTCCTCAGCTCAATTCTCCTCCGCCTCCTCCTCTTCCTCCTCCGCCGCATCCTCCACATCTTCCTCTTCCTCCTCCGCCTCCTCCTCCTCCTCCTATGTCTCCTCCTCATCCTCCTCCTCCTCATCCGCATCCTCCTCCTCCTCCTCAACCGCATCCTCCTCCTCGTCCTCCTCCTGCAACTCATCCTCCTCCTCCTCCTCCGCCTCGTCCTCCTCCTCCTCATCCGCCTCCTCCGCCTCCGCCGCCTCATCCTCCCCCTTCTCCTCCTCCTCCGCCTCCTTCTCCTCCGTCCCCTCCTCGTCATCAGCATCATCCTCGGTCCCCCCTCGTTCTCCTCCTCCCCCTCACCATCATCCTCCTCCTCTTCCTCCGCCTTCTCCTCCTATATCTCATCCTCCTCCGTCTCCTCCTCCTCTTCCTCATCAGCATCGTCGTCATCATCATCATCATCATCATCATCATCATCATCGTCATCATCATCATCATCATCAGCATCATCATCATCAGCATCATCAGCATCATCATCATCATCAGCGTCATCATCATCATCATCCGCAGCCTCACCATCCTCATCATCAGCATCATCATCATCCTCCGCCTCCTCGTTCCCCTCATCCTCATGTTCCGCCTCCTCCTCCTCATCCATCTCCTCCTCCTCCTCCTCCTCATCATCATCATCCTCGTTCCCCTCCTCCTCCTCTTCCTCCTTCTACTCCGCCTCCTCCTCGTGCTCCTCATTCTTATCCTCCTCCTCCGACTCCTCCGCCTCTTCCTCTAGCGCCTCCTCCTCGTCCTCCTCCTCCTTCTCGTCCTCGTCCTCCTCATCGCTCTCCTCCTCATCCTCCTCCACCTCCTCATACTCCTCCTCTTCCTCCTCCTCCTCCTCCTCCTCCTCCGCATCATCCTCGTCCTCCTCCTCATCCGCCGTCTCATCATCGTCGCATGGGTTGTCTCATTAGTCTTCATAGTATTCGTCCTCCTCCTCCTCCTCCTCCGCCGCATCATCATCAGCAGCAGCATCATCAGCAACATCAGCATCAGCATCATCAGCATCATCAGCATCATCATCATCGGCAGCAGCATCATCAGCAACAGCAGCATCATCAGCATCAGCAGCATCATCAGCAGCATTACCATCATCAACATCATCATCAGCATCATCAGCATCACCGTCACCATCAGCGTCATCATCAGCATCATGAGCATCATCAGCAGCAGCCGCATCATCATCAGCATCATGATCAGCATCGTCATCACCATCATCATCATCACCATCATCATCCTCATCATCGTCATCATCCTCATCAGCATCATCCTCATCATCATCAACATCATCAGCATCATCAGCAGCATCGTCAACAGCAGCATCGTCACCGTCATCAGCATCACCAGCGGCGGCATCAGCAGCATCAGCATAGGCATCAGCAGCATCATCAACACCATCAGCATCAGCATCCTTATCATCAGCATCAGAATCAGCATCACCATGTTCAGCATCATCACCAGCAGCAACGACATCACCATCGTCTTCATCATCCGAATTCATCAGCAGCAGCATCAGCAGCGTCATCATCGTCATCCGCATCATCAGCATCATCAACATCGACATCGTTATCATCATCAGCATCATCAGCAGCAGAATCAGCATCACCAGCATCATCATCAGCCTCAACATCATCATCATCGTCGTCATCATTATCAGCAGCATCATCGTCATCATGATCATCATTAGCATCATCATCATACTCGTCGCCGTCAGCATCTTTATCCGTCTCAACATCATCAGCATCATAAGCATCAGCAACATCACCGTTACCATAATCAGCATCGTCCGTATCAGCAGCAACGGCATCATCGTCATCCTAATATTCCTCATAACCATCAGCAGCATTAACAACATCATCATCAGCACCATCAGCAGCAGTATCAACATCAACAGCATCAGCATCATCAGCAGCATCAGCATCAGTGCCATCAGCATCGTCAGCATCATCAGCATCACAACCATCATCAGAATCATCATCATCATCATCATCATCATCATCATCATCATCATCATCATCATCCTGATCATCAGCATCAGCATCCGCGTCATCATCATCATCATCATCATCATCATCATCATCATCATCAACAGCTGCATCGTCAGCATCATCAGCACCATCAGCATCAGGGACATCATCAGCATCAGCAGCGTTAGCATCGACATCAGCAACGCATCATCATCATCATCATCATCATCATCAGCAGCAGCAGCAGCAGCATCATCAGCAGCATGATCACCAGCAGTATCAGCATCAGCAGCAAAATCATCACACCAGGCAGCAGCATCAGCGGCAGTAGCATCATCATCAGCAGCAGCATCATCAACAGCAGCATCATCCGCATCCGCATCAGCATCCGCCTCAGCATCATCAGCAGCATCAGCATCCTTCTCAGCGTCCTCCTCTGTCTCCTCATCCCCCCCCTCCTCCTTTGCCTCCTCCTCTTCCTCCTCGTCATCAACATCCGCATCCTCATCCTCGTCCACATCCTGATCGTCATCATCACCGTCGGCATCATCATCATCAGCATCAGCATGATCAGCTTCAGCATCAGCATCATCATCATTTTCATCCTCATCATCATCAGCAGCAGCAGCAGCATCAGCATCAGCATCAGCATCAGCATCAGCATCAACATCATCATCATCATCATCATCATCATCATCATCATCATACTCATCCTCATCATCATCCTCCTCATGCTCCTCCTCCTCCTCGTCCTCCTCCGCCTCCCTCCCCCTGCTCCTCAATTTCTTCCTCTTCATTATACTATTCCTCCTCCTCCTCCTCCATTTCCCTCATCCGCCTCCTCCTCTTCCTCCTCCTCCTCCTTCTCCTCCTCGCCCTCTTCCTCCTCCTCCTCCTCATCATCATCCTCCTCCTCCTCCTTGCACGCGCACCCACCCCCCCTCGCGGAGAAAGGGGGAGGTGAGGGTCGCTCTTTTTCTCGAGCAACAAAGGGCTGCAGGATTTCCTGGATCCTCCAGGACAGTCTGATTATATTTTCTATAATCACATATATGTGTAAAACTACAAACTTCCTAGCACCTCTCCTTGGGCGCGGGAAGCGGCTCGGCCTCCAGCCGAGAAGAGTGAGCCACAGGGAAACCACTTTGTGCTCCCTTAGCAGGCCACGCAACGGCGCTGGCCACCTAAGCCCATCGCGGGGCTACCCGCAGAGGGCAGGCGCGGGGCAAACCGCAGCCTGTAAAAGAAAGCTCACCTTCGGCTGTCGTAGTGCTTCCAGCGACCATTCTCCTGGCCCTCTCCGTGGATCACCTGAGAGCCTCTGGAACGGTCTCCGCACTCGCTCTTGAACGTCTCGATCCACTTCTGCGCGGCCTCTGGACTGCTGATGTCCTGCAAGCTGAGCTTGGCAAGAGGTCCATACGCTGTAGCCATCACCCGTAGCTGCTCGATCTCTTTGGCCTGGCGATCCGACAGAACGCATCCGTGCTTGATCATCCTCGTGACCAGGTCCTCCTTGATCCCTGACACGGCCAGGCCCTTGGCCTTCAAGACAGCTCGCAGCTCAGCTACAAGAAGCGTGCTTAAGAGCTTGTGCCTTGCACCTTTGTCCTGCTGTACACACACGGTCTTGAACTCGACGCCAGCCCGCGCAGATGGTGTGCAAGTGCTTCCAGAGGCGGGGTTAACCGCACCCTGGAGGAGGAACTTGTCGTAGAAGTTCTTGAAGTAGCAACCACACCAGCACCCCAGTAAAAAAACACTGGCTGCAGTCACCACAACAAGCCCCAACTTCAGGAATAACCAGAACTCCTCGCTGTCCACGTAGTGGCTGACAGGCGCGGGGCAAACCGCAACCTCGTCAGAACCTCCGTACACTGTCACCTTCTCGCCTGACGCCTTCGTCACGACCTCTGTGAAAACTGCCATTGCGCTCAAGCCCTTCAACTGCTTTCCGAACCTGAGGTTGAGAGTGGTGCAATGCTTCTCGATTGTCGGCCACTCGCTGTACTTCGTGAGCATGTCGGCTGTCATCTTGCTGGTGTCCTCCTTGTGAAGCTCGAACGCCTTGAGACGCAACCGCTCCTGAATCCACAAGTACCTCAACTCCAGGTGCCTGACCTTGCCCACCCCAACTCGACTGCACATGCCACGTCCAGCTGTGCTGTCACTATAGATCTTCAGGTTGCAGGGCCTCTGGGTCTCGATCAGGTAAGTCTTACACTGAAGTCCTCTGGCTGTCGCACTTCCCGTAGCGTACATCTCGGATTCCCCTGAACTTAGGGCTATCGTACTCTGCGTCACTGAGTAGCAGTCCCAAGTGTGGTCACCATACCTCACAGCTCCTCCACTGGTAGATCGCCGCTGTAGTTCACTCGTAGGTGCCCAATCCGCGTCACCATCTACACGAATGCCTTCAGGAGTACCTTGAAGTGGGTAACACCAGACCAACACAGGCTGTCCTTCGTAGTACCTTCCAAGTCGCTGAACACGCGCATGCATCAAGACGTTCGGGTTGGAGACGTGCTGCATCGCTGTCTTGCTGGCGTACATCGTGTCGGGCCTGTCCGAAGAAAGGTAAAGAGCGGTGCCTGCTGCACCCGCCACTTCTCGAGCACGATCCTTGGAAAGAAGGTCTAGGCTGTCTCGTCGGCCTTGTCCTGTAGCTTTCGTTCCTGGAGTGGGAGCTGGTTTACAACCTCGCTTCTGCGTCCACTTGATCATGAAGTCCACATGCTTAGGATCGGCAGTCCAGAAGAAACCTGGCTCCTCGCAACCTGGCAACTTGTCGGTATAGCCGATCGTCCTCTTGAGGTATGTAGTCTGCCCCACCGCTCCTGGTCCAAGTCTGGCGCTGGCCGTGACCTCAAACTGCTGCCTCAATAACTCGTCCAGCTCGTCCAGCTGCTCGTCGTAGCCTTCAGCAAGAAAGTCATCGCCATGGCAGATCGCTGTGCTATCCTCGTCGACGGGGGCTGTGTTGGGGCTAGCAGGTAAGTAGAACACGTTAGGAGTTCCAACCAAGCAGTCCCAATGACCGTCGTCCATAGTAGTTCTCACAAGCTCACCCCACATCTGCGACGCCTTCCTGGTACCGTTCATGGCCTTGCGTAACCACCAGCACCTTCCGGGCGGACACAGCTCTCTCCCAGGATGCACGTAGATCGTCTCGTCTAAGTCAGCGTTGAAGAAAGCCTTCCTGACGTCCCAAACTTGTATCTTCCGCAGGTGCTGCCCGCTGGAAGTTGGACTTGAAGCGGCACGGCTCAGCGTCGCTCTGACAATCATGAGTGGGGGCGTGCCTTGGTGGTTATCCTCCCTGACCTCGTACTTGTTCACCTCGGTGGCTACGAACCTCCACCTAACCTTTCCTTCTTTCATGTGGGCTATCGGGAAACCTCCAATGTGCTTGCCGTCAGTCGCCGTCGATGTCGCCACTTCCACGTAGACCCCGTAGTCCTTCATGGCCTGCAGCTCGTCGTCGCGACCCTTCTGATACAGGTCCTCATCCAGAGGCTCTCCAGTGTAGTAATCGTAGTGTATCGTCTTTGGGCTCCACTGGTCTTTCTCATGCAGCTCGGCGCTCACCTCAACCATCTGCTCCACCTGCTGCTCCTCAGGATCTCCTAAGTGGCTCCTGATCGTGCCGATGTGGCTCATCAAACATCTCCTGCATGCACACTCAGCTTGGTGGCATTCTCGTAGCTGGCATCGTGACGAGTGCTTCTCACACCTCTCGGAACATCTCGCACTACGCTTTGGGTGTGGATCCCACATGGGGTCGAAGCTCTCGTCGTAGCCCTCCTCGCAGACTGCCAACTCACAGACAGAGAGATGCCCAATGCTTGCTACCCTGGGCTTCTTGACCTCAGCTCCTTCACGAACTTCACCTGGGGCACTTCGCTGAAAGTCGCTCCTCAGCTCTCCACTCTCCGTGTCCATGGCTGTCGGCACCTCAGCCTCTCCTGGGCCAGGAACCATAGCTACGTCGCTGGCAGCAGGTGCGGGGCTCACCGCAACCTCACTGCTGCTTGATGCCGCTGCTCCTCCGGGTGCGGCTCCAGGCGCGGGGCTTCCTGCAGCCGGCGCTGGCACCACGACTGTAGCCTCAGGGGCCACAGGGTCCTTCGCCAACTTCTCGCGCAGCAAGTCGGCCTGAATGGTCTCGAAACGCTGTCGGCAGGCTGCCGAATGCGAACCGAATCCTGTACTGCACTTCCTGCAATCGTCGGTAGGACCATGAGCATCGATCATGCGCTCCGTGATGTACATGCTGCGTCCGATCGTTCCTGATCTCTTGTCGGGCGTCTGCTTCCAGGGCGTCACCCTGATGTGCTGGATGAGCTCGGGCTGCCACCTGAACTCCTCAGGCATCCTTCGCACCGTTCTCACCTTCTGCACTCCACGTTCAGGATCGATCACGAGATGTGTGTCGTCCAGCTCGCTCTTACCAACCCAGATTCCTTTTGCGAAGCGGGCTTCCCATTTGCCACGTCCCGCGGCAACTCGGGCTGAGATCCGATACCAGACCTGCTCACCCATCTCCGCAATCTCGCCGTTGTACTCTTTGCCGTAGAGCATCTTGTAGGAGGAACCTCCGTGACTGCGAGGCTGGAATCTGGTGATCATCCACCCCACTGAGTTCACAAGCCATGGCACGATCGGATCCGTCATCTTGATCTCGCTGCCCAGCTTGTGCTCCAGTTTCAGCTTGTAGGCTCGAAGTAGACCAGCTGCTAGCTTGTTACCTCCTTCAGCGTAGCCTGCACTCTGCTTGGAAAAGGGCGGTGATCCCCGCACCAAGGTTGAGTGTGATCTGCGATCTCGAACTGCGTTCGCCAGAGCCAAGGTGGCAGGCTCCGAGTCTGTCTGAAGTATGACTGTTGTGTGACCCCAAGCTTCCAGCACGCCTAGCAGGAAGGACACCTTGTAGTCATCCATCTCCTTGTTCGCGTACAACGTCGCCTGAGCCAAGATCTTACAGTCGATAATATTCAAGACAGAGATCGCTTGGTCTAACTCGGCCTTCGTGACCGACGTCTTCTCCCTGATGCTGAAGTAACCTCCTTTAAGCTTGTACTTCGCAGCCAGCTGGTCCGTCCCTACATAAAAGATGTCGAACACCACCTTCGGGATCTGGTTCTCATCAGCTGGTTCTTGAGCGTAGTGGGGGTCATCGTCTGCTCGAGCCTGCACGCAGATAGGACACCAAGGCCGAAAAGGTAGATGATGCCCTTCGTGCGCGGCCCTCTCCGCAGCACTAGGTTGGTGAGGAGTCTTCAACACTCTCGTTGGCACAGTTGTGGTCTCATCAGCTTCGGGACCTAGAACCTTCGGCAAAGATCCAGCTTCATGTTCAGCTGGTACCTTCCTCGGTAGTGTCTTTCGTACTGCAGCTACCTGTGAAGCTTCTGGTTGAGTCTGGCCGTCGATGATGTGATCGTACTCTAAGTAGTAGTTGCCTTGGTGACGACGTAGAGGTACGAACTCAGCTCCGTCAGGTGGCTCGATGGTACCGTTGATGATCCAGTGACCTGCAGGGCTATGAAGAACACTCTGACCACGTTGTACTACAGCGTCTGTAGCCACAACCGGGTACTCCACATCGGCAACCTCAGCACCGACTTGAATAACCTCTCCTCCTCGGGATAGGTTCAGCTCCACGTGGCCGTACCTCTCGATCTCCTCGCCTCCTATGCCCTTCAAGCCGACAACGTTGCTGTCCGTCGGCGTGTAGTTGTGCTTGGTCACCTGTGACCTTGGTACCGCACTAATCTGCGCACCTGAGTCGAGCATGATCGCATTCCGAAGCGGGGCTAACCGCAATCGGTCATCCGCAGGGCTCTGATCTTCATCCACGGGCCGAAGACCAGCGACGGTAACAGGCCTGGGGCCGGCCAGCGCGGGGCTCACCGCAGCTGGCATATCGCAGCACTTCCAGCCGTCAGCGACGAATCTAGTCTTTCTTGCGCTTCTTTGGCTTTGGCTTCTTGTTGTCGTCTGGCTCTTCCCCGTCCTTGCAGCTGTCCAGGCAGTACTCGGCACACACGGCACACAAGTCCAGCTGCCACTGAGCGTAGTGCCATCGCCATCCTTCAAAGGTCTTCTTGCAAGAGCTGCAGTCATATTGGTAGTAGCCAGGCAAGCAGTACTTCCAGTCGATCGTGTGGTTGCGCTTCTTGTGACCTCTGCCCTCAGGGCCAGAATCATCTTCGCTTGCAGCGCACAGTTGACTGGGCGCAGCACCTGCTGAGTCATCGCGCTGTCGGCGCTGCCCTGACTTCCCAGCATCTGTTGTGTCGGTGCTGCCGAGCTTGTTCCTGTGCCCACTCCTGTCTGTCGTAACCTTTCGAGCTCCTTGACTGCCGCTGCCCCGATCCTCTTCTTTTCTTTTGTCTTCTCTTTTCGGAGCTGCTTCTTGTCCTTCTTGTCCTTCTCGGCTGTCTTCTTCTCGTCGGCGATCC